CTTTAGACTGCCCAAAATTGCTTTCAAAACCATCTTTAGGTGACTCTCTAAAGATCCATTTTTAAATCTGTTTGACATGATTGTACCTTTTTGTGCAGGATACAGGAAAAAATGTGGAAGTTGCCTTCAGTCTTGGAGCAAATAGAAGCCTCCCCCATTAGAGTTGTGTTTATGACTTTTCCCTTGAAAGAAAAGTTAGGGAAGTTCATGCTCTTAATGAGAACAGGGAGAGAGTAATCTTAAAGTTTTAGGTTTTAAAATTTTTGAAAGTATAAAGTAAACAAATTCAGGTATTTTCATATAGCCATTAGTAACATGCTTATGTAAAGGATGTTTTTCTTGCAGTTTATCATGCAATCTACTTAGAGGAGATGGCAGCCTCAGAAGTCACACGCAAGCTTGCTTTGGCATTTAATATTCCTTTGCATCAGATCAACCAAGTTTACAGACAGGGTCCCACAGGCATCCACATTCTTGTTAGTGATCAGGTAATTGAAATTTTATTTTTTTGGCATTTTATTTATGACTGGGAGTGGTGGGTTTTCTTATGCTTGCTCATTTATTACTGGTTTTTCTGTTTGATAATGCAACCCTAGTGTTTGCTGACATATAGAGTATTTTTTCCTTTACAATAAAATGAACAGAAGGATTCTTTAAATGTGACTTTTCCTCTCCCTGACTAAACTGAAACTATGAGAAGACAGAGGCTGCTGGTTTATATAGTTCTGAGAAGCTGCAGCAGTTATTTAATACATATTTATTTTGAGCACACCCAAAGGCAGAGAGCATTTAAACACTGTTGAACTCTGCTTGTTCAAGTGTCTGCTCCACAGAGTTCCAAAAACACAGCCAGCAGTAATAGGCTCCCAGCTGTTTGTCACAAGAGTAAAAAGCAGTATTTTAATTTGGTGTATGCCTGTTACTTGCTGAAGAAAACCAAAAATACATGATTGCTCACAAAAGGCTGTGTTTAATATCATCGTTGTTGAGGGTTGTTTTTGTTTGTGTTTTGGTCATACTCAGAAGGTTTTGAAACTTTTTTTTTTCTTTTAGATGGTTCAGAACTTTCAAGATGAGAGTTGTTTCTTATTCACCACCATAAAGGGTATGTTGTCTTTTCTGACAGTCTAAAACTTAATCATTTATTCCAGCCAGGAGCATTCTTTAAAAATTACAGAAGTTTTGCATACACAGTAACAGAAGATATTCAGAGTTCTTCCTCTCCTAGCCAGATTTCAGCCTCTGTGTAGCATCTCAGGCTCTTCTCTGAGCTTTCAGTTCAGAACCAGTGCAGGATTCGGTAATAAACCTTATGTAAAATTCAGTCAGCCATCACTGGACAGGGATGCTGCTAATAACTGCTGAGAATGGTGAAGGTTCAAAATAGGTTTAAAAAAAATATCAAAAATCCTGGCAGTAGTACCTCTGAAGTTCAGAAACTGAATGTTAACTGAGTCCTGAGAGTCAGCAGAACTGAGCATAACATTCTGTTGTTTCTCTGCTAGTCAATAGTCAGCTTCATTATACAGGCTGCTGTTGAATCCCACCCTTCCACAGAACTCCATTTTATTTCTGGTACAGGGTGCCAGCAAATGGCTGTAATCAGTGGACTCTGTGCAGAAACTGCACCTACCTACAGAAACCGTCCCTCTTTGAAGATCCAGTCACAAATCATTAATCGTAACACTTTTGTTTAGCACAAGTAGGAAACCTTTAAGTTTTTGTTGTAGCTGAGTTTATTTTCAAAACCAAGTCCATACTAGGGTGTTTTGGTGTATTTGCTTGTATGTCCGTGATTCTATTCCAGAAGGACAAACAGACAATTCCTTTGGTTTTTTTCAGCTGAAAATGGAGAAGGCTTCCATATAATTCTGAAGTGACATCACACACTTGCTAGACTGATACTCCAACGCAGAATGAAGTCCTGCCTAAAGACTTTGAAGATCATCCAAAACCTTAGGATCTAACTTCACTGTATAAGATGTTTCATATTGAAAACACAAAATGACCTTTCTAATGAGCTGTTTGATAGGTGAACTTTCTTATCACTGCCATAGCTAAGTGTCCTCATGAGAGGTATAATGCCATGACAGCTTCTGTACAGGCATGGAAGACAATGTAAGCAAAGGTGCTTGCCCTTCACTGAAATAAGGCAAACTATGGCCAGTAGATACAGTTCATAGAAGCGAAGCAGTGCTGCTTTTCTATTACCTGTATCCAGTTGGAGATGAATGTAAACTTATTTTGGGGCATTTACCTTTCTGTGCCAGTTTGTCTGTTACGTGCTTGTACCTTAGGCTGGTTTTATTTTTTGATGTTAGCAGAGCACATGCTAATCTGTGTGGAGATGAGTAGTTAAGGTGATAGTGATCAGGTTGTCAGGTCTTTGAGAGTCAAGCTGTCAAAACAGCTTCCCGTGTAAATTGTGTATAAGAGTGTATGTAAGAAGTGTAAATGCCAGAACAGGGCTTTTAAGAAGCCCTAGACAGATGCAATATATGCATGCAGCAAACTGCATTATCAATAGTACCTTATTGGAGGGATTAATATAAATCCTATGGGGTACCAAGTAATTGTGTTTTGCTTTAATGAATTTAATGGAAAAGAATTGCCTATGCATCCTTTATGTTTAGTTTCCTAGGTTCTCTGCAGAGCACTGCTGCAGTTTAACTCTTTGCTTGTAAAATTGTGGGTTTAAAAATACTGGCAGTGAGAAGTGGGGTTTTCAGTGGAATTATGCAGATGAGGGAAGATGACCCACTGGCACCACAGGGCTGTCATAGCTTTCAGCAGCATCAAATAAATTGCTTGAGAAACACTAAATACACACCCTGTAAGTTCCTTCCCAGCAGGTGACTGCCCTGCTGGAGCTCCTATTCTGGACAAATCTCTCCTTACCTTTTCAGTTGCCCTTCCTGCACCCTCCATCCATCCATCCATACTGTACACGTGTTACAGTGCCTCTTCCATGTGACCAAATACTTATTTTCTCTGAAACAGGCAATGTGCTTTCTTGGTATTTTGGATGTGTCTTGTAAAGTCATGGCACAGCATTTCCTAGGCTAACATTAATTTTCAATTGGTCAGGTACTTAGAGGGGAGTATTTCCAGAGGTATTAAGCGACAGTTTCAGAGCTGTTATTCTGTGCCTTTGGAAAGTTCCAACTTGGATCTCTGGCTTAGAAGCTTGGGAATAGTTTGCTTTTTATGCTGCGGTGTTCCGTGTAAACCAATACTACAGCATGTAAAAAAGCAACTTGACTTTTTCATTTCCCCTTCCATAACTGGCTCAAGTGCTTAGCAGAAAAGCTTCTGAAAGCTGTAGCATTTTGAAAATTTAAATTCATCAAACCTAGAGTTTTTTTCCTATTTTTGGTTGGGTTTTTTTTTTTTCTGCACTGAAAGTAAAATTCTATGTACTTAAACATTTCTGCCTATAAGTTGTTCATCTTTGGGTATTGTTTGGTCCTAGTATTTTCCTGAACTGACACTTGTGTCTTTTTAGCTCACACCATATTCAAATCCAAATGTTTTATAAAAGTGGAAAAATCCTTGATTGGAAAGTATCCAAATATCTAATTTTAAAGAATATTGAAAGTTGTACAGTAGTTTGTCCAGCTCACTTGAAATTGGAATTAAATTATGGCACCAGCAAATGGCTTTTGTTTTTTAATAAGATGTACACATTTCAATTTAAGTATAATAAATGTTTTTCAATAATTTTGTAAATGTGCTTTTCTTTTTGTTTACTTCTTTTTTTCCCACACCCACATTAGAGACAGTCCATTGCTAAGATTTAGATTAATTACAAGACCTGCCCTAGCAAGAATAGTTGGTCAAGGTAAGGAAGTAAACCAGCCCTGCAGAATATCCTGCACACTGTGCATTCACATGGATCTTCTGCTTCTAGTAGAAATCTTCTTAGATTTGAAATAATTCCAACAAATTCAAGTTTCACATCAGCTGATTGTTTATTTAAGTGTCCTATATCAGAGTAGATTCCATTTGTTTTTGTACATCTTCAATGCAATAGACTTACAAGGTTCATTATGGTCTTAGAAAAAAAATGAGCCCACAAAAGGCAACACATATTGACATATTGGTACCAATGACTGCCCTGGTACAGTTGAGAATAAAATCTAGTTAAAACTCTCATGAGACCAGCAGTGACTGAATGGAACTCTTCAGTATGATTGTAACAGCACTCCACTACTGTGCTAAGGAAGCCCAGATTGGCTTACTTTGTACTGGTAAAGAAATTCATGTACTGTAGTCTAAGGTGTAATTTAGCCCCAAAGCTGAGCTCTTAATTTATTGTCCCCCTCCTCTGTGAGTCCACACAACCCAGCCACTGCTGGCCACAGAAGTTCATGTTCATGCTCACTCCTTCTTAGAAGTTGTTTAAAATTTGCAGGGAGGCAATGGCAGTACCGTCCAGTTGTAGCTTTTCCAACTGCTTTTTAATTTTCAGTAAACACAGGCCCTGAACTCTTAAAACACACACACAAACTTACACAAAAAAAGCTTTCTGAATTGTCAAGTAGTTTCTCTCAGTTAATTTAATTGCTTAATATAAAAAGTTTATCTAATTGTCTAGCACTGAAAAACTAAGGATGAAAGAAAGCATGGCCTTAAGAGTTAATACACAGATTTTTATCATCATTATTATCATTCAGAAGCTGACAGCTTCTTAACCAAATGTGAAGAGTTTGGCTTTCTCCATTTGAAAACCACAGGTTTGGTATGGTTCAACTCCTGCCTACAGCTAAGCCCATATGCTTGTCCCTAAAATAGGTGGGCCAAACTGAATTCCTTCCCCCATCCTGCCTTCTGTAGCTGAACCTGTTTTCCATTCATCTCTAGAAAAGCATGTGTGCTACACCTCTCCTCCTGGAAGCGCTGCATCCTTTCCTTCCAGCCCGCGGGGATGGCGTCGGCGGAAGCACCATGGCTGGCTGTGGCAGCTCCAGGGCTGGCTGTGCAGCTCCAGGGCCGGCTGTGGCAGCTCCAGGGCCGGCTGTGCAGCTCCAGGGCCGGCTGTGGCAGCTCCAGGGCCGGCTGTGGCAGCAGGCACAGCAGAGTGCACGGGCTCCACCACAGTGCATTTCTTACCCCGTTCAAGGCCAATGGCATCGGGCACAACCTGCGTCAGCGATCGCCAAGCTTTGTACGAGCAGAGTTCAACTGAACCAAGTCCAAAAACGTGGGAAGTACTTCTAGTTCTATGGTATCTGGAGGTACTACCTTACCTTTGACATTACCTATTATTTCCTGTTACATAATTAAATATGAAGCTGAATCATGAAAAAGAACAAGCTGCTGTTTTACTGTAAGAGCTTATGATTACTTTGCATTTTTTGGTCAACATCTGCTAAAGCTGATTTGTCTTTAAAACCTGATACTTGATCTGTGGTGTATATTACAGAACAGCAGGCTCAGTTCCTTGGCGTGGCAGCTCGAGCCCCACGTGACAGCGGCACGTCACACCGAGCAGTGCTGACAAATGCAAATGAACTTCCAAGTTTTGTGAACTTCCACCAGGTAGCTGCTCCGCTGCAATGCCCACACGTTTGACACGGTACCACAGTTCTCATGCCAACAGAAGGAAGGAGTTACTAATACAAACCAAAGCATCACCAACTTAATCCACAGCTGCACATTACATTAAGATTTTTACCTGGAAAAAAAAAAGCTTTTCTTGTCACAAAACTGGATGACCAAACACCCAAACACCACCATTAGGACTTGTCAGGAAACCGACTCCTTCTGCTGACTTGCCGTCCCATTCTTCAACAACAACATTTCCTGTGTGGCTGCTCTGGCTGTCAGAGGATGATGCAGCATCTGCAGAGGCGCTGCCCGCTCCCTCCCACCGACGGAGGGGGAGTCACTGGAGCAAAGTAAGCATGAACTTTCACGTGAGGTAGATGAGCCTGTGGGTGAAAAGGCTGCATTATAATGGGAGAGAAAGAACAGAACTGAAAAGAGAAGCAGCACACCTCACCTGTTGTGCCAGCAAGTGCTATCTCATTAAGGTTAGTTAGCTGTGAAGGAAGCCTTTATACAGTGGATACCAGCCAAGCTGTCTTCTCCTCACATGTCATTCCTCATGACCCATCCAGTAAGGCACACCAGTGTCTGGGCACTCAACCTGCACAGGGCTCCCTCTGGTTCTCCAGTAAAGCACTGATGAGCCCAGACAGTGCAGCAGGAGAGGCACAGGTTTTGCTATAGGGACAAGAGGGGTGGACCCTGGCTACTAAGAGACAACTTCTCTGAACCTTATCTCCCATATTTCTGCTGCTGTTCTCATCCTGGAAAGCAGCATGAAATAAAATTGTGCTTCTGCCTTCAATTTGAGTCACTATCAGGGATGATCTTTCCAGTTGCAAAAGTGTTTGGATGCAAATTTGGGATACGAAGCCGCAGACAAGTTTAACTTCGAGGCTAAAACACTGCCTCCACAATGCAGGTGGTCTCTGACCTACGGGGTGAGATACTCAGGGGAAAGGTTTGGGGCTGGGTTCCAGGGCCTGAGGCCCCACAGCCCATCAACTGAAATATCCATGCAGATGTTTTACTGTTGGCTCTGTGCATTAACATATATTTAGGATTTAGCATGCCACTACACCATCCTAAAAACAGAGGACTCTACTTGAAAAAAATACAGAAAGCTGAAGATAAGAGCTCATCATTCCAACAGCAGAATGTCACAAGTTAGAACTGACAATTACTGCTGTTCATAGAGGGAAGTTACACACTTGGGGACCTAACAGAAGGACAGTCAGACAGTTTATCCAGCCTTCCATGCCTGGGACACCTGTAGGACTCCTACAATCTCAAGCAGCACCAAGAGCTCTGGCATTTGCACGGGAACAAGGCAGGAAACACCTACTCTGATCCGTTTGATGCCAGCTCGTGTGACCTGCTGGCAGTCGTACAGCTCGATTCTCTCCAGGTTGTGGCAGTTCTCCAGGTGCTCCAGAGTCACGTCCGTGATGAGGAGACAGTTATCGAGCTCCAGCACCTGCAGCCGCTCGTGCCCACACGTGCTGTTGCTCAGATGAAGAATCCCATCATCAGTGATCAGTTCACAGTGAGATAAGCTCTGAAACAGAGAGACAAACAGCAACATCCCTCAGTTACTGGAGCCTCTGGACAGCAGAAGTCCTCTTCAACCTCCTTCACTCCACTGGTTAAACAGCTACAAATAATACACAGCTGAAACCCATAGGAGTAAAAAAAGAAACTGCTTTACTTAACAAAATGGCTGTACTTGATTTTAACTTTGCTTCAAAACAAGCTGAGTCCCAAAACACATCACTGGCAAAGCTCCTCAGCCCCTTTGCTCTCTATGAATGTGGGAATTCTTTTCCAACTGTCCCACACAGTGCAAACAGCTCTGTGCCAGGAACAACTTTAAAGGATGATCGAGAACACAGGGAATAGATGAGTATCTGCTCAGGGGTTGCTGTTTCACAGCTGCCATGGTCTCATACATACACCAAGCCCGTGCAAGTCCACACAGATGGAGAACAATCACAATAGACTGATTTGCCAAATAATGATTTCAAAGAAAAACAAGCCATGAACATTTGGCACCTCAGGCTGTACAGACAAGGAGCAATAAACATCTTGCACAGCTGCAGGAGCAGTCTTTTCTGCAACAGTCAGCATAATAAACCAAAAAAATCTGCTCCTCTTCAGCACATTTTTTTACTCCCTTGAATTTGAAGAACATGGAAAATGATGTTGCATCTCAGGCAGTGGCACCACATAAAGCACTCTCCTCATTTCTTCAGGGAATTCATGACTTTTGGAGAAGCACGGATGATGACAACAACAGGAAACAGACATTCCTCAGAGGCAGCTGAAAAAAACCCTCTTTGTCACCACTGAAATGAATGCTCTCAAGTCTCAAGTCTTCCCCAGTGAAATGTGCAGGATCTGTGACCTCCTCTACTCTTGCCCTGGGCTCTGAGCTGGTGCCTTGCTTTATGCTCAGCCCTGTGTTCTGCCTGTACTTGTACCTAAGCCTAACAGTGCCGGGTAATGAAGTAGCATTTCCTTGCCCCAAGTAGTTTTTTTTTCAGACAGTAATTGATGAAGAAACACTTGTAGCAGTCCAAAAGCACTTTTTAACTCAGAGCAAGCAAACAGCAGTGCCCAAAAGGACCTCCTGCCAAACCCCCAACTCTAACATGCAACGTTTCCCCTCCCTGGGTACAACATATCTTTTCATTCCAGCTTGAAAAGGCAACCTGGGGGACTTCCAACCTTGCTTCACCTCAGCTACAGTCAGAACATTTCCTTCCTGCTACCAGACACATGAGGTCTGTCCTGCTCTTTGAAATAATTTGGCCTCAAATTTTTTTACCTTTGCTCTACAGAATGAGCAGGGAACCCAGGAAAGGCTGGGAGACAGGCCTGCATCTCCCTGGAGTCTGACAGGAGCCACTTCAGCAGCTTCCCTTCAGCTCCAGCTGGTCCAATTTTACACACCAAGTGTGAGCACCCAGCAGGGACTCCAAGCAGCACCACGAGGGCAAACTGTCTCCAAAAGACAGCAGAAATGAAGTGCTTGCCCCTACCAACAGTGTTTTAACTCCTGACACCCATTCAGGCAGTCTCTTGTCTTCAAACACATCAGCTCTCTCCTGTATCTCCTTTCTGTGTGAGCTTGGTTTGGCTCAGAACCTGGGGACAGTCAGCAGCTGCAGGGTTAACCAGCGTTCACAGCAGAGCTGCTGTTCCAAGGAAGGACAGGAGGCTGTGTGAAGCTGTTGGCTAATTAGGAGTGTTCCATCCCAGGAAGTAAGCAGCTTATAAAATCAGCTTTCCTGGGACATGGTATTGGTACTGCAAGGACAATACAGGATGTACAGCTGAGTTCGTAGAACTTTGTAGAACAAATATGCCAAATTATACACACTTCATAGTAAACCACAGGATTTTTCTGACTTTCCAAGCCTACTAAAAAGCATTAATAATGTGGAATTTTACAAATACAATTGCTTGAAATCTTAAGAACAAGGAGATATGGTCAAATTCTTTTGTTGTTGTTGTTAATACATACTAAAAGCTGTGCATAAATCAAGTATGGCATGACACACCATGACAACTTCACATACTGTGAAAAATTCAATTGTCTTCTCATCTTCAGGACTATCATGAGTATTTCACAGTTTCTATACTAATTTAAATGTACAATTAAATATATTAACCAGAAATTGCTTCTTAAGTGCATTAGGCAATAAAACACTCCAATACTGATGAAGATTTGCCCATTTCCACCATGTACTGAGTCTCCAAACAAGACAAAAGCAAATCCACAGTCAATCTCTGCAACTCCAAAATGTTTGTTCTAACTGCAAATACCCTAAAGCACAGCTGCAAAGGAGTTTACAGGACATTGGGAGCACCAAGATTAGCTCATGCACTGTATTTGGCACCTGCCTGCCTTGTCTTGTCTTGTCTTTTCCTGCAATTCTCAGTCACTGCTGTTCACACACAATCTCTGAGTATGTATCCTTCCTATCCACAGTTTATATATAAAGATCTATATACACCAAAGAAATCAAGGTTTCTGGTTCCCTTAGGAAAGCTGTGATGTCTTACCAATGCCACATTTCCCTGTCTTTAGGCAACACAAAGGCCAGCAAAGAGGAGCAGGCTCAGAAAAAAAATGCTTGGGATTTATAAGGTTTTATGGTGTCTCTGTTGAAGCACTGACAGAACTGATAGAAAGATCTCTTTTGTAAGAGATCTTTTGTACCAGTTGAGCAAGAACTGGCTGCAACTGGGATTACAATATAAAAATGTGTCCCATATAAATGGCTCCTCACAGCTCCTGACAACTCATTTGGTTTTACATCAAGAATGATGGTCAGTCCAGAAATGAAACTGGACAGTTGATAAGAAAAAATTAAAAAACCAACAACATTAAATAGTGAACAAGCTCCTTTTAAAAGCCATCTCTCCTCATGTTGCTACCTTAGTAACACTAATCATAACACAATTTAATTAAGGAAGCAGAACACCTTCCTTTAATCCCATCTAAGAACAGATTATAAAGATACTTGTTCTCTCACGTAGATCTAAGTAGTTATAACAAATCTACACTAAAAGCACAACTGGCCTGAAATACAGGAGCTCCTACTGTAAGAACAATGCAGCAATTTTCAAGTACCTTTATTGAAGAACAAACAAATTTATGTTACCTCAAACTGGGTTTGATGATCTGAAAGATCTAAGCTACCACTCCCTAGAAAACAGTTCTTTGAAATCCAGTAAGCAGAGTACCCCACTCTCAATCCTCTCCAATTATGTTCAAAAGTCAAGTCCAAGGAAACCTTCCATAATTTATTATGCAAATGTAAAAAAGTGCTTGGTAAAAAGTGCTTGCATGCAAAACTGCTTACAGAGGGATTACATTTATCTTCTCTGGGTGGTTTTGTTTATTCAATATTTGATGTGAAGTGTCATACTCCCTAAGAAAACCATTACTGAACACTTGAAAATATCCATAAAGAATCTAAGTGCTTTAAGTTAAATCAAATATGAAGGATGTTAACCATAAAATAAAAGCTTTCTGGTTTTTACTCAGTGATTTGGTAACATTTTTTTAATCACACACAATGCATATAAATATTTTAGGATTAATGTGCTGCTTTTAGAATACTTATGAAACTTGCACATATTTTGCACAGTGTCACTGTACATCAGGAATTATTTCTGGACACAGAGGGAACAGCCTGGGCTTGTATTGCAGGAGTTGTCCCTGTGTGTCCTTCCAGGGGGAGCACCACAGGCCACAGACCAGGAGTTACACTTACCAATGCCTGAAGCTTGGGACAATGTATGGAAAGTTGTATCAATGTGCTGTCAGTTATCTGGGAATAAAAGAAACCAAACATCAGCCAAAAGCAACAGACAGCAGGAGAGGCAACCCTCCAACGAGGTCTCTCTTTCTGTACCAGATGAGGGCTCTGTTATTTGTGGAAAACAACTCCTCACCTGTTACTCTCCAAGTACTTCCCTGTATAGAATTTCCCAGTAATTATTTTTATTTCCTACCATAAACACAACACTATTTATAAAAACCAAAGAACATCTAGACGAAGTTGTTAATGTACTGCATTACACTAGACATTCAATATTCCTTTTCATATTAAATCTCACCAAAACACACTCTTCCAAGTCCATCTTCTCCAGCTCATGGCAATTCTACAATAAACAAAAAATGAACAGATAAACAAAAAAATAAAATAAAACAACATATTGACATAAAATTATGCACAGGGCTTATAATATGGGGCAGCACAGCTTGCAAGAGGAAACTGTGATCTAAATCTCTTCAAATATTTGATCACCATCAAATGACAAAAAAAAAAAAAGAAATAAACAGATGAATCAACAAGCAATACCCCACCTCCCTCTGAAACATCTACATTTCAGCCTTTCTCCTATGAAGGGAAATGTCTCCTCCTAGTCCTGTAAGGTTTGAACAGGACACAGTAGTGCTCAGCAGCCCTGCTTCCCTTCCCCCTCTCTCCAAACCCATGGTATTTACAGCCCATGCACTAAAGCCAGCTCCTCTGCACACACAAGAACACAACTTCTGCCTTTGTCAGCTGCACCTGACTCACCTGGAATGCACTAAAGCCATGGCACATTTCTCTTTGTTGTCATACATTAGAAAGAAGCCTTAAACCCAAACTGCTTTGGCAATAAATGCTGAAAATATGAAAATGGGGTCTACTTTAAGGGCAGAAGGAAGCTGCGTGTCACACCTACCAATTTTCTCTGAGCAACATTCTGAGACCCCCAGCAAGCTTTCAGAAGTGCTGTCAATATCTGATCATGACTCATTTCAAGAAAAGGATGTAACCTTGTGACCTTGCAGCAGACCACACAGTGCCAAAGCTCGGCTCAATTCCCAATCTGGTTTTTCCAGGAACAGGGCAAAAAGGGTTTAAGAGCAGGCTTGAGGTGACCACCAAGAGCCTGAGGATGCAGTGCTGGACAATCAGAAAACCCCTCTGTTTAACTACTGTGGCTACCAAAAAAACCCACCCCTTTTCATTCGCATTAAATATCAGCAGCATAAATCCCATTTACAGAGTATAATTTTCGTGTTCAGATTTCCTAACCAGCAAACATCCAAGTCTAACATGAAGCATTTGACACCACCAATATGCTTTCTGTATGGATTTACAGCATGAACCAGGGCACAAGTGCTTATAGTTTATAATGGATAATGTAAGTGATCTGTAATTTAAAGTTATCTTCAGAACAATCAATTATATGCTGATTTTTTTAATGTACATATCACAAGGGTGTATGCCATCAATATAAGGGAAATTTGGCTAGAATACATAACATGAGTCTAGAATTATGTTAAGTGTAATAAACACAGTTGAAACAAATGAAAAAAGAGAGGGAAAAAGTGAAAAATGCAATGATAGATGGCAAATTAGATCAAGTTGCAGATCTAAGTATAATCCAGAAATGAAATAGCTTTTTAGTCCCCTCCTCCACTGGCTTCTTTCTGCTTTAATTTTCCTCTTCTCATGTTGCTTCCCAGCAGGACTACATCAATCCACAGCTGCTCAGCAGCAATGAACCAGGGCAAGCTGTGACCTCCTGAAATGACCCTTACCCGTGCCAGAAGGGTAAACCCAGCATCTGTGAGATGTGAACATCTTGCAGCTTCCAGAATCCTGGAAAAGGTTTAAATGTTAAAGAAAACATTAACATAGGGAAAAGCAAATGCATTTGAGCTACAAATCTGTCTTCTGCAACTTAAAAGTTCTCAATAGTAAAAATATGCGTATATATACAGAAACACACACTTACACACATCCTCCCCCTATTTTTCACCGTGACTTGAAATGAAAAAGCAGACTTAATTCAGTTTATCAGAAGATCCTGACAGTCAGAGAACATTTAGTGGAAAAAAATTATGCACAATGAGGGTCACTTTAACCTCTTGTTTCACTAAAAGCATAGTGACCAAGTTTTCTCATGTGTTATCTGAGGAAAGCTTTGGGAAAATAAACCCTGAGTTAAGGAAAATGCAGATGAAGCCTACCTCTGTTATCTAAGTACAGGCTGCTGGGAAATGACAAAACTGAGAAAGTGCTCACTAGAAATCCCCTCAGAGCCTCTGCATGAAGCACAGTGAAGCAAGTTACCAGAAAGCATGGAGCCAAAACCTCCAAGCTGCAGTAAGAACAACAAACTATATCAACACAACCTTAAAGAAAACAAGTGTTTTGGAAAGATAATCCTAACACTCTTCCAACAGGCACTGGGAAGTAATACCAAGAAAAAAAAAATCCCAGAAGGTCAACTGCCCCAAACAGCACACCTAGTATGCACAACAGGTCTCCATCCCATTTGTTGTCTTTGTTTTCTTTGTCCTTTTTTAAGGAACACTTCCTTTGCAGGTGGAGTGAGTATCAAGATGAGTAAGGGGAAACCACAGTGCCATGGGATGAGCAGTGCAAACTAAGTGCAACTTACCACAGCAACCACTGCTGGGGCTGGCAGGGAGGAGGCAGGGAAAAGAGGCAAAAGAACTTTTTGTGGCAATACTGAGAAGCCTCCAGATCCTTCCACTGGTTTGGGAGGCCATTAGAACACTCTAGAGAAAGTGCAAAGGGAAAAGCCACACTGGGTATGTGAATGTATTCCAACCCAGTCAAAGGGGGGAATGTGGGGATGTGGGGCTCTGACTATGACTTTGCTGGATCAATCAATCCCTCTTCCAAGGCAAAAGCAAGAGGGCAGCAAATTTAGAGCTGAGCAGCCCCACAGGCTTGAAAAGCCACTTTCAGAGTTCCAGTCTTCCAACAAGGTTCAGAAGTATGAGGGAAATTTAAGCTAAGTACAAGACAGGCATCTCTTCCCAAATTGATGGTTTTAATACCTCTGGGTGTTACTTTACAGACTTATATTCAGGAATTCTGTGCCCTTCCATCAAGGGCAGTTAGCAGCCTATCACAAAATACTCTCAGCTACTCTGAAAATTGCCTGTGATACCAAATAGGAAGGAAAAAAAAAAAAAACAACACCACCACAAAAAACTCCCACAGTTCAGGTCACATTTGTCACCCTTCTAACTCCTTTCATCAATTACTTACTACAAACCCCATCTCATTACATGGCTGACTTTAAAGGGGGGTGGATAGGCAATGACATCTGCAATGATACCCAAAATAGTGAGGATACTACTTCCTGCACACCCAGTTGAAAGGACAACTATAGAAACAGAGGAATAAGAAACCAGAAGATAAGCAGCTCTAGCTGTCCTGAAATTGGGTGTGTAGATAGGGCAGGAGAATGGGGAGTGAGCTGCAATCACACATGCTGCATAAATCAGGCCCCAGAATGAAAAAAACAGGTGGGACGGCATTGGGTAGCATGGAAATAACGAGCAAAGTTCTAATTTTTGCTTTTATTTTAGTGATTGTGCTTAAATACAGAGGGTTCTTTTTTCCTGTTACAGCTGACATGAATTTCCCACCCAGTGACTTGTGAAAAAGTATCTAACACAGGAGCTGATGAGACAAAATTATATTCAAAGGGATTCTCCACTCTTATGAAGAAATATTCTCTGAGTCAGACTGAGGTGCATTCATTGCCTACAGCTGCTTTTTGGGCACACCTGGAATGTCTCTGCACTCAGCACCTCCCTACTCCTGTGGAATTAGCAGCTGGTGGGGCTGAAAGGAATATGATCCTGACTTTCACAGTCCCACCCAGACAAAGGCATTCATGGTTCACAGGTGCTTCTCTTGACAAGCCTTGCCAAAATACCTACAAGTATTATAGCATTAAAAAGTGCTAATAAAGAAAAAAAAAAAAAAAAGATGGTACCATGGCACCAAGCACCTGAAAGAGCAAATGTAAAGAGGAATGACAAGATATCTGTATGTTGTTGATGTGAGATAAGAAATATAGCTGAAGGGTCTGCTGAAAGCTTGACCTAAGTTTCTGTCCAAGGAGATACTTGTGACTGGTCACAACTGAGTCAGGGAAATGCAGCAGTATCATGGAAAGCAGCATAGTAGGACTTTCAAGATCCTGAACTGAAGTGAGAGTAGTACAGCACAGAAAACACTCAAAATTTTCCTGACAGGGTCAGCAAGTCCAACAGAGGCAGCAGAGTTTTCTTTCACACTTAACACTGAAATATTTAGAAGGTACAGAACAAGTGTGGAATTACATTTCCCTTTGATTTCCAACATAATTTTTATCAAGTACTTTCCATCCATGGTCCCAAAAGTCTAGATGCTGTAACCAGCTGCATCCTCTGTCCTCCCAACATGCAGTAAAATCCTCAGCAGCAATCACTGCAAAGGGTCATTTTCCTTCCCTGTGCTGCTCCTCATTACAGGAGCAGAGCAGCAGACGCCTTCCCCCTCGTGGCTGACAGATTTCCTAGCAAAGCTGAAACAATTCCTGCTGCACTTGTACTGCCCTTGGAAAGAACTGCACAACTAGGAGCAGTTTAGACCTCCTTTTATTTCCCATCTGAGATGCTAATTGAGAAAATGGGAGAAATGGTGGAAAAAGGCCAGCAGTAACAGTAGAGCTTTCTAGGTAACTCCAGTAACTTTGCCAAAAGGCTCCTAAGCTCCTAATAAGTATGAACAGGGACACAAAGGGGACTGTCAGCCTGGAACTGTCTTAAGGACAGGTCTTCTACAGTAACAAAAGCTCTTTTTCACTCATTCAGCTAAAGGAACACTGTGTGTCAGCATATGGTACACTGGAATTTGAATGCAGCATCCCCTAATTTTTACAGACTACTCATTCCTCCACTGTCTATGATTTAACTATAACAACTTCTGACTCCTGCATGTTCCTGTCATAAATGGCCATGTGTCATTCAAAAATCTTTTTATTTAATCTACATTAAAATTAGAAGTATTATCTGTCTCTACAAAATGTCTCCATAACCAGGGAGCTGCTGCATAACTGAGCTATGGTTTTAAAGCCCAACATAACATATATGTTTGCACAAATTACACCAATGGGGAAGCTTATATTATTTTTAACTGATAAGCCCCTATTGTTCAAAACATGTCTCATAAATATCAGTCCAAGCTTGCCAAAACATGAGCACACTTTATTTCAGAGTTTAAGAACACCAGGCTGTACTGCAGAGCATATTAAAAGGACTTTTATAATAAAATCTTTAAATATAATAATCAGATAAAAGATAATAAATCAGATAAATAGAATAATCATATATAATTTAGCTATTTTTCAAGACAAATGACTGCATAAAACCACATCACAGTACAAACATCAAAAGGAACAACACAACCACAGATCTTCTTAACTTTTAAAAAAGTAATGGGCTTTATATCTTTTTTTTTCTCACTTGTAGTTAGTACCTGAAATATTTAGCTAGAAGCACAGAACTGAACTGCTGGGTCCAGCACATCTTATAGGCTATATATTAACTCTTGCTTTTCTGATATGCAGTGAACTCCATGAATATGAAGCTACAGAGGACCAGCCCTCAAGTTTATGTACCTAATGTTGTGGTTGCAAATGCAGCTCATCCTCAGAAGTGAATTTCTTAGATCAGGCCAGTAAGAACATGACATACAACACAGTCATGACATACTCACTTCAGCCTTGGACAGTTCAGACCAAGAGCTGTGAGAGAAGCATCTGTCAGGTTGCTACAGCCTGAAACACAGAGTGACTGCAGCCTGTGGCATCCTCTACAGATTTTCACAATGCCTTCATCTGAAATTTGCTGCAATACAGAAGAAGGTTGAAGTTACTTCCTTACCAAGTAATCAGTCAAGAACAAAAATCAAGACATTGCCACTGAACTGCTACTGTCACACTGTATATAACCAAGGCAACCCAGATTTTCAACCAAAAAACAGTCAGGAAACCATATACAAAGATAACACTGAAGATAATCAACATTTACAATTCCTACTTAACTAGGTATTTTTCCACAGACCTTAAGTTCTGCTCTAAGGCAGTCTGAATCACAAAGTGAGAGTTGTTTGATGTTGTCTTCTTCTTTCACTTTGCTTTTTGTTTTGTAATTTTTCACTTTTTTTAAAAATTGTGCTCACTTCTTATATATTGGTGGGGTCCAGATCTTCTGTTCCAGTGACTGTGTAAGTTTGGGAACAGTGCAAAAGAGATTTCAAAGCCTCACAGCAGGAGAACTAGCTACCTGATTTTCCCTGGAGCATTAGAACCCTAGGGCAAAACCCTTCACCTTCTGATAATTTTTGAAGCAAGAGTTAGGGAAACAATTACACATAATCCATTTTTTACAGAAGGTAAGCGTAAAAGGCAGATCTGCCCTACCCTATAAAACCCCTTTAGATGAAAGATTTAACTCAAAAGACGCCTTTTAATTTCTCAAAAACGTTGTCGTAGATATTCTACAAGGAGTAACTCCAAATTTAGAATATGAATAAATAAGTTTTCTCTCTGAAACAGGAGCTATAAGGAATAGCCCCATTGCAGCTGCACACAAAATAGCAACAGGAACTGGATTACTGTGTGTGTGCAAATAAGATTTGGTTTACAAGTCTTCTACTCTGAAAAAAGCTCTCAGTCCTCCTCCTAACACTATGAATTTAATTTTTCTGCTGTGTGGAACAGATTGTTTTATTTCCTGGCTTAATAATACTCTTGCAAAAATAGCAAAGACCTTCCAGTATTTTTAATAGAAAGCCTTGTATAAGCCCCTCATTTTAGTATGCTCATACAACCGTAGCATATTTCTGATGCTATTACCACAAAAATTACCATTCCTGGATGAAAACAGGATGAGAAATCACAGTAACTCGGCACAAAGGGAGATTACCTTATGCTTCCCCCTCCCCAGCCCAGCACTTTTTAATATCAGAAGTTTAGATTTTGCAACAAATTCAGTCAAATTATTATCAGCAGAAAATTAAAAGTCTCTTTTTCTTTTTGGGGATCCAGAAGGATTTGTATAATCTACAGGTAAGAAAACACAATTTGGAGTTCTGTCCAAATCAGGTACTTCTGGATTTGACTCTCCAAAACCATGTTATTTTCTGGAACTGTTCTGTTTGCTTTGAGAAATACACATGATGCTGTTCCTGGAAAAAGGGATGGCTTTGAAGGCAAGGACTATGCTGCTGTAATAAGCCCTCAAGTCATATATGAAAATTCTCCACTCTGAAACTGCTTGTGATTTCAATGCCCATATCACTGTCAGGAAATAAAAGTGTTCAAAAAATGCCTGCAAGTCCCCGCAAGTTTCTAAAATCTTTCTCTAAAGATGGTACCTTTCAGATGTGCAGTTTCCAATGCTAATACAAGCTCATTCCACAGCTGCTGGAGCTGGCCTGGCATTTTACAGGGCCCATAAAACAGAGTCACTAGAATTACAGTGGGGATCATACAAAGCACAAGGACACCTGCTGTGTAAAAATCCCTTTGATCATATGGAGCCTGGATGCTTCTGGAAGCATGCTTCCAAGCCATAGCAAACAGGACAGACCTCCAGTGAAATCCAGCTTTAAAGCACATGTAATTAGGCAGGGCACACAGACTAGCAACTCAGAGAACTGAAAGGAAAAACTACTTTCCCTCGGGAGGGTTTTTTGTTTGTACTAAATAACAACAGACATCCTGACCAAAGGAAAGCTCTGGTCACTTCTGTGCCAATGCCACTGTGAAGTGGGAGAGATAAGAACTGATTATCCGCTTGAGATCCTTCCATAAAAACAGTCAGAAAAGGCTGGCCTTGATATATCTCATTAGTCTTGGGCAAAACACAACAGAAAAAGAAGTTGTGAGAAGGGCAGCAAAAGGAAGTGTAAAAGGGGAGGAAATTACATACTGACTTTATTTAAGTGTGGTTCTGACTAAAAGAAGGAACTTCACTGCTGTTCTCTTTCAGTGCCCAGCTTCAGTGGGCACCTACATTCACACTGAAAAATTCTCTTTCATTAAACATCTGTATCATGGAAGCTCAAGCTTTGTATTCTTATTGTTCTTATTTTCCGCAATTTTAATGTAACTTTAAATAATCCCTAACACTCAAAAATATTCAACACTTTTAAGAAATCTATTAGGTTCAATCTTAAAAAAATATTCCCATGCCACATTCATTCTGGAACAATCTGTTAAACAGATTTGAAAGGTATGCAGGTTTTTATGATACCTTCTAGAAATAAAACTAGAAAACTTTTCAAAAACAAACAAAAACATAATTTTATTATTCAACTCTGCATAACTGAAACACTGAAATTCTAATTGATTTCAATATATTTTAAGGCTTACTTGCAGGCAAAGAATGACTTAGCTATATTTAAAATCTAAAAGAAGGCCTTTCCCGTTCCTGAAAAGTCACATCAGAAACAATGAAAAGCCAATATAAACCAGAGCAAAGAAAATGTGTGTTCTTTAAGTAGAATTAAAAGTACATGAATGATTCCCAGTTATTTCATGACTAATGAATGTGTTCTCCATTAATATTGGAAAGGCATGCCCTTCTGCCACTTAGATGGTTCTGAATCATCTTCAGTTATGATGCCATTACTTTTTACTCTCTATTATGTAGCCCAGAACATGACTTCTGCTCAATTAGAAACCTTAGAATTATGAATAGACCAAAATGCTACACAGTTCATGAAAATTGAATTAATGCAGTTAATTCTTACTCCAGAGCTTACCACACTTAAAAGATGTAATGAAGGGGAAAAAAATAACCCAACACTTCAAGTCAAAACTCAGCTGTAGAAACAGCCACTTCATTTAAAGCTACTATTTCACACAAAATCCTGTAAACTCCAGAAAATAACTATCTTACTTAAGTGTATAGCAGATCAATTGATTAGCATTCAAAATTATTTCTGATTTCTAGAGAATGTACCTTTGGAAGCTTCAAATACTTACTGTACACGATTGCAAATTCAGGATTACAAGCTCATGACAGTGATTTTGAATGTGTTTCAATGCTTCATCTTCTAACTGTATTTAGTAATTAAATTGGACAGAGGAAAAGAAACAAGAAATTAAAAGCACAGCAAAGCAGCCCAAAAAATGTACACATCTTGCAATATTGAACAAAATACTATAACAAAAATGACATTTTTAATTCATGGAGATTTCAAAAACCCAAAATAAAATTTTATTCCTAAAGGATCACCCAAGCAATTATGTACCTGTGTGCAACCTCTAAGAAATAGAGCTTTTAGTCCACTACACCCTTTCACCAGTGCTTCAATACCATCCTTCGTAATCTGATCACACCAGGAAAGATTCAAATGTTCCAGATTTCTGCAACCCTCACTGGGAGAATTAAAAAAATACATAAAGTTAAATCCAGCCTTCAAATAGTCATAACAGTGGGAAACCCAAATTAAACACACTGTTAGAAATTAATGATAGCCAGTGGACTGTGCCAGGCCTCCACAGAAAAGTCATGAGAAAAGACCACACACAAGCACCACAGTCTACACCCCAGAAGCCTTAGATATAGAATACAGCCCGTGCTGATTCACAGTATAAAGGTTCAGCACCAATTTTTTAACTTCATTAAATGCTGAACAGCTCTTTAAACACTTTTCTTTAACACAGAACACTGAATCTTCTTACCTTAAGCCTTTTAAAGAGCTGTTTGTGATGGCTACGCAGGATGTCAGATCCAGATGTTTCAGCTTGGAACAGAATCTGCTAAGACTGTAACACGTGCTGCAAAACAGCAGACACACTAAAAATACCTTCAGCTACTTCTTTTTCCAAATTTTCCCATCAATCAAAAAACCTCTTTGACTTACCTGTCTGTGATTTTTGTGCACCCGTTCAGATTTAAGTGTTCGATGTTTCTGCAGTTCTGTGCAAAGGTCCTACAGCACAACAAAAAGCTGAATCAGTAAAATGTCCCGAGCGCAAGGCAGACACTTGAGCGCGCTCCGTCCCACCTGCACCTCCTCCCACCTTGGCCAAAAAGCCTGATCTTCAAGGCACAGAGTAACTGCAAAGCGTGCTTCAAACACATCTGTCTCAGTGGTTGCTTCTTCCTTTTCCTACTGCAAGTTCCTGGCCTTAGCAAAGTGCCATTTCTCCCACTTGGGCAAGGTGCTTATTTCTGTCATGTATCAGCCAGAACTTGCCGCAAATGCCGTAACAAAACCTCAAAGGGCACAAACAGAAAGCTTCAAGTGATACATCATTTAAACATTAGGCTTCTGGGAAGAGTTTCTGCACATCTCATTACTGAAGCCTTTGCAAGTCCTAATAAGGAGCTTGCTCCCACAGCAAATGGAAAGGGACACACCTGGTACAATAGCAAGGGTGACCTAAGTCTATTGAACTACCAGTGGAATGCCCTGTAGGCTGCAAATTGCTTCTTAATTATTTCAAAAATTAAAAAGCATCAGTGTGCACTACTGGGTATGAACTTTAAGGATGATCAGAGCTATTATACTGCTTGTATATATCATACTAATTAGTCTGAAGAAATACATACATTTTCTTTTCAGCTGTGAAAAGTAATATTTACAGCTACATTGCATTTCAGAACACTGTTTTTATGCCCATGTTTCCTTCAGCTGCATGGATTTTATTGGCAGGAGGGAAGGAAACACACAAAAACGGTTTTGTCTGGAGGCTTGCCCTGGTTAACAGATCTGACTAAACGCTCAGCTGGTAACAACTTCTGGCTCTACAGCATGGGTTGCAAACAATGGAAAAAAAACCCAGCAAGCAGTTATACTGGTGAGAGTTTCACACATGAATACTCAAAACAGCTATTCCAAAATTCATATACTGGAGGGAGATTTACAACCAAGACACTTTTCAAATCACTTGGAAAGATGCTACACTTTGGAGGAACAGTAAACTGCCTCTGAGATTCAAGCATGGGGCATGTCCTGACAGACCTGCCACAAGCATTCAGTGCTTACATGGCCAATACCTACATCAGTAATTGGCTATTTTACTCAAAAGTTGATGTAGAAAAAAGATAAATAGAGAAATTAGTATTGCCCACAAAACTAACAGATCTGGAAACAACTTAATGCAAATAGCCTCAAAGGAAAAATCACTTTCAGAACAAGTATCTGAAAATTAATGCTGCATTAATTTACTCTAGAGGCAAAAGTTAAAGAATTGACTTACTTATAAATTTTAGAAATAGCTAAAGGTCACAGGACAGTAGCTTAATGCCCACTGATAACAAAATCTTTGTGCTTATATTTTCCACCTGAGAACGGCCACAGTACTTGAGACTGAACCCCATTCAGCCCAGGCTCTAGGGAGAGGGGAGGAAAGCATAACTGCAAAAAGCAGACCCCAAGACTTCCTCCAAATGTTATTTGAGCCCTAAAGTGCTTCTGGTGCTCCACCTTCAGCTGGAGGTAGGATCTTAGGGTTTAAATACTCACAGAAATATCCACAGGAACCTGGCTAAACAGTTTGCATTGGAAAAAGCTCATATGGATTCAAACATTCTTCTGGGACCAAACTGCACAGTTCAGTTCATACCCTGTGTAAAAGAAGGGTCACTGTCCTCTCTAGAGCCTCCCACGATGTTCTTGTCGCCTGCCTGTTTGTATTTTGACCCAGAAAAGAATTCCAGATCTTTCCTGATTTTGAAGGCACTCAATGTAGGTACCAGTCTTTATCCTTCCTCCTATTTCTAGGGTCACCTCCTGTCCAGACTAGATGATAAACAATAAAATGACCACCAATCTTGATACTCCGACTATTGAAGAAAGCCAGAGTATAGTCTGAAAACATTTTAACCACTTGGAAATGGAGCAATATCAACATAATCCTCATGAAAGAAAAAGCCACGCTTCTGAAAAGCACAAGCTTTCATTTCTTAGTTCATTGCTAGAAAATCACAGAAGCTATATTTTGATCTCAAACTGATGTCTCACTTAGTCAATACTAAGGTATTTAGTACTTACCTAAGCATCCCACTTTGCTCATCAGCCAGGACTCAGAAATAGAAACAGACATAACAGTGATCCAATTGCAGTTGGTGCACACATTAGGAAACAAGGGATGTCTCCATCAAGGATTTTACTTACTTTAAAGAGGAGTCTCCAACACCAAGACATCCTCTCAGACTAAGCTGTCTCAGGAACCCACCACACCTTTTTGATATATTTTCCACAACACGACCCTTAAACCAAATAAAAGGAAGATATAGCTGAGTTTTATTCTGACACAATATTCTAACCAAGTTAAAAATCCCAGTAGTTAAGACTAGACCCAGCTGCACCCCACTATACTAAGAACTGTAACTCTTTGAATTTCTTTTTCTGCTTTAAGAAAGGACAGTTACCTGTTGGGAATCTCCACTCACACTCAGGTACTATTCAATTCAATCTTTAATTCTTTCTTCCTTTTTTTCATTCAATCACACACAGCTCAACTTTTTGTCACAGCAGACCCTACCCATTAAGATGACTAAAATGATCTTCAAGTTTTCTCAGATGGGTAGGGAACTGCCCCACAGGTGGAATGGCAGGCTTGGCCACTCCTCAAGGGTCCCAGCCACTCAACAGCCTCCAGCAAGTCCCTGTTTTACAGCTCCTGCCCAGGGATGCTTGCAACTGAAAGGAGCCAAACACCTTGGTGGGAGCAGCAACAACAGGACTAATCCCTAACAGCATTGTGCATTTTTTCCTCTCCCATTATTTTTTGAAAGAAGAAATATGTGTAGAATTACAGGCCAGTGGAATTTTTTTTGTTGTCATGTTGTTACATTTTATTGTCCTTCTCTAATACTAACGTCCTGGCCATCACTATGGGAAAATATTTTCTTATCAGAGCTTGTTTCTTGGTCCATAAGCAACATTGCTTATCTTATCACTCCAAAGAATTTACACCAAAACAAAGAAACTGAAAATCTGGTTTAATTTTTTTAAGCTTTTCAATTAATCAGTGTTATTTCTCAGCAAAGGCCAAATACCTTTACTGTAAGAATAAATTCTTCAATGAATAATATATGATGCAAGTTCAATTTACATTGCAGAAAAAAGCCAAATCCTAAAGAATTACTCCAAGAAAGTTTTCCCAAGTTTTCCCAAACTCATTCATTTCTTTAATCACGTAAAACCTCCCAAAATCCAGCATGCTAAAGAGGACAACTTTTGTGCATTCAAATGCATTTAGCTGTTTGAATAATTTGTCACTCAAAAAAACTAGTTTTTCAACCTACCCCAGCTTACAATTAGTTCCACATACCAAGAAATCATAAGGTATGTTTAAATTCAAGATCACACATTTTTGATATAAAACAAACACCTTTTCATAGGCCCCCCCCACTTTATTCTCTACCATGTGAAGTCTTAAATAAAGAAAAGTTTCACAAAACCTAATTTTTCATAATTTGATATTCTCAGATCAAGTACTGACTAAAAAATCACCAATCAGTACAACGTCCAACTAAGCACAAAGTTGCCAATTATAGTTGGGAACTTTTACCTGTCCTAAATTCACAGACAAAGAAATATGATACTAAAACAGCTAAAAAGAGTTCTTAGATACCAAATGTCAAACTCTTTTGTTGAAGAGATTTGTGAAATAATTTCTTGCTGAACACACTTTTATGGGTAAATTTAAGAGTTATGTATTACAAATGTACTTAAATACAATATACTGAAGTAACTGAATGCTCCAAACCACAACAGCTTTTTATAGCAATAGGACATCAAAACTTAGTTTCACTCCTTCTCCTGAATCCCATGTTACAAATATCTCAGCATCTCAGAGGGCAACACCACTAGGTAAAATATAGGACAAAAATATTGAAAACTTGAAAATACAATTCTGTATTTCTAAATACCAAAATGACTGCAAACACAGAAAAGGTCTATCAACAGGAAGGACTGCAGACCTGTGGGGTTTTACTTTATTTCTTAGCAAATGAGGAACACAAGATTAAGGGCAACTGAAAACATGGCATTAAAGCTCCAAGTCTTCTTTGATGCATTTAGATTAAGGCAGATGCCAAAAATCTTTCTCCTACCTCTGCAAGATCCTCTTGTTTAAGGTAAGTAGAGCACAGGAGTTGGCAATAAAATTTTAAAAGAGTGGTGAAAAAATTTTATTTTCTATGTTACTGTAAAACTTCAGGAACACTTTGTACCATGGTTAGCAAAATACAGCAAATGAAACACATCTGGATTTTATTCATGCAACTAAGAAGTTAAAACATAAAATACAGAAGCAAATCTATTATTGTAGTCTACATTTAATTTCTATCAACAAATAATAAAGCAGTTCAAACTGAATCAAGGAATTTTTGTTCCCCACTAATTTTTTTCTTCATTTTCAGATGTCATATTTTATTTTGTTACACACATCTATGATAGCATTGATGCAGACATGTTTTTCTTACAGAAGACAAGCCTGCCCTTAAACCTTTCATTACACACTGGGAAGAACTTTACTTCACATGTTCCTGCATTCACACAAGGTTTAAACCTTATGAAACAAATGGTCATAAAATGGTAATCAGATACACACAAATCAAATCTAGGCAAGCTTGCAGTAAGAAAAGTTGTCCAGCATTTTAATGCTTCAATCTCCAAATGATGCAGCCAAGTGCCCAGTGAGCTTCCAGCACTAGATGGCCCCCTCATAGAAGGATTTGGGACAAGCAAAACTATCTTCTAGATTGTAAAAGCAATTCCAAGAATCTCATTCCATCCAGAGGCACTGTTTACACTTTTCCTTTCTGGAAATGAGCAGGCTTGAATTTCTAGAGCCTTATATGTATATGATATATGAAAATCATCTGATACACAGCTGGCAACCAAAACTGAAACACACATCCAAGAAAAAAAAAGGCAAATACAGAGTTCTTTTTCATTTGCTCCTTCACAGTGCTATTTTTGTGATCTTAGTCTTTAAAATGTGTGAAAACAAGCACAGTATGCAGGGCACTCGAAATGGGCTATGCTCTTCAACATCTCAATAGGAATAAAAAATACCCTAAAAATGAAAAAAGACACTAACCTCTATATCTGTTTGGAAGTTAAAGAGGTCTATTCTTTGCCAGTTGCTTCCATCCAGAGCTAAAACATTCCATGCCTACAGAAAACAAATAAAGTTTATTTATTACTGCCACTGCCTGCTCCCTTCATTTTCCTCTCAGTAATGCAATTACAAACTTGACAATTTCAGGTAGCATTTTAAAAAAATTGTAGATATTAGTACTCATACATAGTTAAAAACATAGAATTTGAAGAAATTAATCTCAAATCTCCTAAATGGATTATACTTCAAAGGTTAACTTGTGGCTACAAAACATATGGCAAAGCAAGATACTAAATGTGAAGCACATACACAGAAAAGAGTTAACTCTCCACTCATAAAAATCTTTTGTAAAGTTTTCTAATTAGTTACTTTTGCTACATCTAAATGGAAAAAAAGTAGCTGCAGATGAGATTCCTTTCAATAAAACCACAGTTCCTCAACTTCACTAGTTACTATTCTGAGAAAACAGAAACCTTTCAGAAAACTGCTGACTTTCCACTATTAGGACCAGGCCTTTCCTTTCCATCTGCTAAGTTACATGTACATGTTTGAGAGCTTGTCCTTCACTGTCAAAGCAATAGTTGTTCAAAGTAAAGCAGAATTAAGAAGCCAGAGAAACACAGATATGTGCAGAAAATGAGAGAAAAAAGAATACCACATCCAACTGACAAGTTTTCAGAGAAAGATAGAATTTATTCAATCACTTAGGTTTTCTTATGCAGTTTTGCAGTTTTTAGATGAAACCTGATGTTACCTGACTCACAAGACTTACTGAAGTTGCAGGACAGGGTGATATGGGTAAAGAATGAAACAATTAGACAATTACACATTAAATCAACCAACCAATTAAATCCCAAACCAAACCCAACTGTAAGAGGAGGAAGAAAAATATGAAATTAAGTTCATTTATGTTGTATAACAATATAGTTCAATGTATGCAAGTGATGTAGAAATGGAGTATTATTCATTTTATTTCAAGAAGAAAAAATGAAGACAAGCTAAACATAAAAATTTAGCATGCCTTCACTAATATCTTGCATGTACCTTTTTCCTCCACTAATAGCCCATCTACTTAACATGCATCTACTTTTGTACTTGGCAAGAAAATGATGGATCTACTTCTTAGACACATGGTGCACATTAACCAAACTACATGGAATTTTAAGCAGCAATTACACCTGAAAAATAGGGTTATACAGGCACATGTTTTATAAAAAGCAAATGCCATTATGCCAAACTGGGCTTAATCCCTTCTCCAGATACAGAGCAAACAGGACCGGATATCTTTTCCACAGCCTTTAGTCAGAACTCCTGGACACAGCATTCAAGTCCACATCTACATACAAAACTGGGACTGCTGCTTATTTGCTTTAATAAGCTAAGAGACTGAGAATTATTTTTTTTTAACAGGAAGCAGATTGCAATGAATCCCATGATTTGGATGTAATTAAGAGAATGGCATAGGGAACAACAAAAAAAACCAAGAGGAATACATACCTTGGAAACTTGTGCACAGCGACACAAAGTAACTATGTCCAAGAAAGAAAATATTCTAGAAAGAAAAGAAAACAACTACAATTAAAATGTTTAATTACAAATTCCAACTACTGTATGCATTCATGTTTCTTTGGTTCTATGGAAAGACACCAGTTACACAAGAAACAGGTTAACTGCTATATGAGTGTTTTACCAAATTCTTTTTGGTTATTGAGACTTACAGAATAATATCATAGCTACCATCTAAAGACAGTCAACACCAACATATGAGAACCCAGCAGGTGCTGCTTCTGAAAATCTATTTTCTGTTCCTTCTCCCTACTATAACAGATAATTTTTTCTTCTTAACTCGGAGAAACTAGCTTATATTCCTTTAATTGTGTTACAATGAAAGAAATAACTTACACAAATACTGATGAAAATTTCAGAGGTTGGTGAAGAGTAAGAAACAGATAACACATCGATAAATCCAAGTTCAAGAATCTAAGTATTAATACAAGGGACAATGATCCAAATTTGTGAAAGGATTCACAGGGACTACCAAGTCTAACACAGTATCTTTTTTTAAAAATTTACTCTACAAGAGACAACTGCAGCGGAAAATTCAGATTTACTATTCTGATCATGGAACCAATTTCTCAGGTGTGTCAACTCTTAATAGTTTACAGAAAGAAATCTTTGTCAAAATGAATTTTGCTAAATACCATTTCCAAGCACCAACAAAATTGGTTCAGAGAATGTTCTCAGAGAAAAAGAAATAATTAGCTTACGCATAAAATAGATCCTATTAAAAATAATTTCCTATTACTGAGAATGAAAGCTATGAAATATATGAAAGATGTTCCTGTAATTCACTGATAAACTGCTACCTGATTGCCAAAGAACTTTTTCAGTGATCAAAATCATGAACACTAATAAGAACAATTTCATATTATAGTTAGATGTTAACATTGAGGAGCAAACAATTGGTAAGAGATGTGGAATTTAATCATGTAACATTCTGTTTAATGTTTTTCAAATGTAAATCTGAAGCTAGAGCTCAAAATGGATGCCTACATCTTAAGCACTGTTTTAGCTGTGGTAAGAGCAAAAAACGTAATGGAAGTACTTCTTAAACATAACAACCTTCTGGACATTTATTATGATCACTTCAGATAGTAGTCTTCCAATATTTCATTTGACACCTGGAAAGTTTTTCTTCTCTTCTTTACATTAGAGCAATATACTTTCTCAAAAAAACTAACAGTCAAGCAAACAGAAGGAAAGATGTTTTCAGAAGCCATGAAACAGTTTATAAAATCCTGTCAATAACATTTATTTTGACAGCATCTATTTTGACATTTGAACATCCTTTCTGAGGCCTGTCCACTTCAGGAAACTTAACAGCATTGAATGCACACAGTACATAATGTGCTCGGAAAATCGCTGGACTGTTCAGGTAAACACTGGAAAGTGTTCTCTCTCTTTTAAGAGCAGCATAAATATCAGCACCCTACCAGGAACCCTCTTCTGACATCACCCCTCTCCCTACCATAAGGGAAATGTCAGCAGATGAGATTGTCAAGATTACACAAGAGAGAGCTGCAAAAGCTTCCTGGCTTGCAGAAGCTTCCTCACAGAACCACTGTGAGAGTGGGACCTGAGGGTTATCTCAGATTTACAGAAGCACAAAAGACAGATTTCCATGCTATTTGTAAAATGAAAGAACTTGTGACACAATAATCTTGTTTAAATAAGAATGTGACATGCTTTAGAAGTGAGGTATCCAGTTCTACCAAAATAACAAACAACAGAGGAAACTGTAAAATGTTAAGGAAAGGGTATTTTATATACCCCCACCACTCTTGAGTTGTCTGTCAGTCTATCTTCACGTTTCGTTGTTTATTGCTGTTAAGAGATTAACGCTGATGCAGGATTTCTGCTAAAAAAAAAGAAGTTAAACTAAAACCAAATGGAGAACAGATGTATTTATTTTTGCTTCATTCTGTATGAAGTGACTTTTCAAAAAGTTAAAAATTGGAAGTGGTTATCCTATATTAAGAGAAGAAATATTTTAGCAAGTGTAAATATTTGTGATGCTTTTAGGGCTTTTTTTGGTTTTGTTCTAGAGAAGAACCTTTCCTGCAAGGCAGCCCAAGCTGTCCCCATCAAAACAGGTAACAACATTAAGATGCATTACCAGCAATCCGAAGCACAATTATTACCCTTCACTTATACAGTACAATAGGCAAGAGATGCCAGTAAGTACCTTTATAATCCCAAAGAGGCATCTTGTACATGTGCTTGAAAACACTTTTTTCCATGCTTTTCTATTTATTTACCCTCTACAATACAGTCTTTCATGTGTACCACTAACACACACTCGCTTGTCTCCTTGCAACCCCACAGAATCACCAGCAAATCCTTGCCAGTCAGGAAAACTGGTCAAGAAGGCACAAGACTCTGAGGTCTAAAGTCATTTCAAGTCTTTAAAAGGCTTCAGAGTCTTTAAAGACTTTAAATGCAACCAACAAAAAGAGATGGGAACAGACAGTGACATGGTCTGGCATTTGGGTGAAGGACCATCAGCAGACACTCGCAATTTTAAAAAGTGGAAAAAAACTACCAAGCAGGGCAGCTGCTGGTTGTATAGCACTTCTGTCCTCTATGACCACAGCTACGTAGGTGGAAGCAGCCAGCAGCAGGATTCATTTTCACTTCAGTCTTTGGCATGTATTAACACAAGGAAATGGAAATGAAGTTAATGAATTCACAGTAACGTTTAGGATCATGCGGTCTGAGCTCTAGTGTCCCAGGCTATTCAATTCTCCATAGTTCGCCTGTATTGAGCTCAAGAAGGAAAATACACTTACCAACACTTGGAGCCCTTCAAGCCTTTTCATCCCTAGGCACACACCACTCTGGACACGTGCCTCATGAGTTTGGCCTTGGAGACCTTTCAATGTTAACACTCCCTGCAGCACACAGCTTCATGCCAAAGGCACAAAGAGTTGTACAAGCTCAGAGTTCCTCAACTCCCTCACGGCAAATGAGCATTTGGCTAAAGCCTAACTTACAGAAAAGGATCTATTCTTTATGTGAAAGCCTTCAAGACACGGAAAATCATCACCTCCTCTGGTAGTTTGTTCCACTGGTTAATCACTCTGTCAAAATGTTTCCCTTATTTCCAAGGTGAATGTCTGACTTCCAGCTCTATGCTGTTTTCTACTTTTCTTCACCAAATTAAAGAGTGCTTTAGCAGTTCATACTTTATCCTCACCAAGTTTAAAAGCCACTTATCATGTCATCTTCAATTCCTATTTTAACAGTTGTTTTACTTCAGTTCTTTAAATCTCCCTTTCTCTGCCCATTACTTTTTCAGTATGTTTCTTCAAATGTAGACATCAGAAGCCTGTGCAGCATTAATTCGTATCAACAAGGCTGTACACAGACATGAAGTATGATTTCATTACCCCCATTTTCAAAGCCATTTCAGGCCATTGTAACAGCCTTTTTGACACAGCATCAGACAAGAATCGTACAGAATCTCACCCATTTCTTGCCTGCTTAAAAGTGCTGCAGTTAGGATTCAAATGATTCTACTCTGGATTTTGCTTGATACTCAAGACTCACCAAAACTCAGCATAAGACGGCCACAGATCTTTTTGAGCCACTTTCACTTCAATTTATATGGTTCTGCTGACAGGAAGTGGTTATCTACAGTCTCCAGCATCTTCCCATGTATTTCCACATGTGCTTTTTTATTCTCTTGTGCTATAAATAGGCTGCCCAAGGTCTTTCCAAACACAGAGACAGCTGACTCCTAACATTGTTTCCTTCCCTAAGGGGCAACAGAAAGAAACAAGCTATTTCTCAAAACCCCAACACTGTACAGTGTACCTCTTACAGAGGAAGAAATCAATTTGTGCAAGAGTCAAACTGCTTCTCTCTTGCTTTTGTAAGGCCCTTCCACATTTGATCACATGAAGAATAAGCTTTTGAAGTAATACCCCAGCAATTACTCATTGTAGATATTTTGATACAATTCTATAAGGATTGATAAAAAATGGATAATGAGATGCATGCAGTGAGTATCACACATAGACACTTTACTGCCTAGTAATTCTGGCCTTAGACCCAGAATTTGGTATGACAGAAACACCAGGTAATTTCTAAAAAGCTTCACTAAAAACCTAAGATATGGGTTTGTTTACAACTGACTTGTGAATGGAATTCCACAACCAGAACTTTTGATTTTCATGCTGCTTAAATTTATACTGGCTTTGCACACAAGGACAATAACAAACTTTATCAAAATGAAAACAAAAGTAACATGGATGAGAAATGTCTCACTTAAGACAGCACATCAAGTAGATAACTTGCTTAGAAGATCCTTTCAACTTTGCCACACTGTCCAGTCGTTACAAAACATGCACACAACAAATCTGTTATGTCTTTCCCACTTTAGACTATGGATTTCCTACTGACTTGCAAATCTGCATAGCAAATCTGTTCACACTAAAGTCCTTCACATGCAATACGGAAGAGTAAAACCTACGTGCATGGAAAAAGTATCAGGGAGACAAAGCACAGCTTCCACAGCTTTGATTTTCTTTTTTTCGTAGTTTTTCTCAGCATTTTCTCCATGCATGCCCAAGCAACAGTGGAAATGGGCATCAGACACTCTTAGTTCACTATTTGTGAACACTAATTGTGTCTGAACACACATAGTGTCAAAGTCTGATAACCATCACAGAAACTGTCTTTTATTTCTTCTAAAATGTCATACTTAGCAGATAGAAACCATATTTACAAATCTTTATACATGGAAGGTTTCTCTTCACCTTCTGTCCTCCATTTTTCCAAACATCCTACTGAGGTATGAGGCATCTCATGGTTAAGTGTAGTCCAACAGTGTGTACAAACACTAGAATAAAAAATATGCTAGAAAACATACAGGTAAGAGAAATAACTCATAGCCTTAATTCAGAAAAGCATAATCTTTAATGAATATTAAGTTCAACAAATAAACTTATATTCATATGATTAAATTAGCAAAGTTAATGCTAGTGTACT